GGATCTAAATAGAAATAAAAGAATTGATCTGCTTTTCAATTTAACAATTGAACTCACCATCACTATTTGTTCATATGCTGTTGGATCTAAATAGAAATAAAATAATTGATCAATTGTGAATTTCACCATCGAACTTACCATCACTATCTGTTCATATGCTGTTGGACGTAAATAGAAATAAAACTATTGATATGTTATTTAATTTCACTATCGAACTCACGGTAACGTAAAATGTCTTGAATGATTATGGAATCTGGTTTAAGGGACTAAGGAATATCGAATAGAAACAAAATAATCGATGATGTTGGGGAAAGATGAAAAGTGGAGACAGATGGTAAATCTGAAGTGAAATAGAAGCTATAGAATGTAATGAATCGCGATATTACATGAAGATTAGTTGTGTACTAAAATTGGATGCTTGTAACTGAATCACAACAGTTAATTTTTGATTGTCGAAAATGTGGAAGTTATTAATATTTAGGTCTTACTGGTGAAGATTTAGGTAGCGCTGTCGCATGAGATAACTAGATTTAAATAGATCGGAAAAATGGAAATAAAAATTCAGGTATGAAGGAAGAATTTTTTTTTTCTAGCATTTGGATTTATTTTATTCGAATTAGAGTTTGATTTATTTAATCAGATGTCACTACTTTGTGTGTGATCGATTTTTATATCTCAAAGTTGAAATATACTAGTGACTTCTGGAGAACATTTCACTGTTTGCATTTTAATTAAAAAGATATTTTACTAAAATAATTTAATAAAACTAGATTACGACTTTTATGCTTCAGATACAGCGAGTGTAAAGTATTAGTTTATAAAAATCACCTATCTAGATAGTGGACCTAACAATTAAACGATGTTATCGACTAAAATGTTTTTCGTTCTTTTAACCTGCTCCAAGAAGGTTGTTTTTCTTCGAATAGTAAATAGGCAGCAATGTATAATAGATAGGAGGCAATATAATAGTGTGCACTAGTATAAGAAAAATATTTCAGTTTGTAGTATGCAGAAGGAGCGTATATTCACTGCGCTCTTTGTTAATATCGTCTTTGATTCAGTGAATAATTTATTTCGTACTATCAGTACGATATAATAGAAACCTGCATTTTTGTTGTAATTTCAGTTTTTTATTATTCTAATCTTGTTGATAACGGTTCTTGTTTTAGATTATTTCTTGACTATTCAAGGAGACTTATTGCATAGAAACAATTAAAATTTGTTTTTATTTCAACTTTTAAAAATTTAGTATCTATTCCTTGAAATTTATAAGCATGAAGCGGGTTCACTCTTCAAATAATAGCAACCAAAATATTAATTCATCTCAAGCAAATTGTATCCGGTCCAGTACACCAATACAAGAGGAAAGGAGTTTAGCTCATTTTCCAAATAATGGTACTGGTAATTCTACTAAAGTTCAAAATAAAAAGAAAGTGATCAATGCTATATGTCGAAATGGAGGTCAAAAGAAATGTAGTAACGAAAATTTTGATGATGATAATTCACAAATAGCAGCATATACACCATCGGGTTCCAGTATTTCTTTTTCTTCGTCATCAAGAGGTGGCGGCAAAGAAAATCATGGAAATTTAAATACATCGCTAAAATCTCAACGAAAACATACTCAAGCATTACATGCAATTACTGATATTTCTAATAATTTAGGAAACAAGTAAGTTGCTTAAAGTTGAATAGAAAAACATATGATGTGACTATTTAGGTCATTGAAAAAATCCATGGATACACAACATGAAAAGTTAGTAGGTCTTCTTGGTTCTATTCATTTAACTATTGTCTATTTGAAGATCAAGCTCTCCCAATTCGAATTCAACTAATAATTTGAACCGAACATCGGATTCCTATTCAAAGTTGGTGCTCAAGATGGTTATATTAAATAAATTTCTCATTCTTTTAGCCGTGTATCTTCGCCATCATCAAGTAAAAATAAAAAAACATCCGATAAAAACAAGTAATATTACAAATAAACTTAATTTTTTGTATAAACATATTCGATTGTCGTACCTTTTCAATAGTTCTTCACGATCATCCATTACCAATAATCGATTTACAACTGATAATCAATCATCATCGTCGGTTTTGAATACTTCTCATGCTGTACAACCCACGTTTCCCATTCATTCTCTAGTAGAGGGTTCTCTTGAATACAGAGAAATGAAGCGTCTATATTTAAATGAAAAGCAACTGGTAGAAGACTGGCGCAAAGATTATAACGTTCTAAAGAAACAAGTTGCTTTCGTCAAAACAAGCACCATTCGTAAGTGCGATTTTCTCTCCAGTTACTACTGAATACTAAACATATTTTGAGTTGAAAAAAAATCAATAGTTCAAAGGTACGCAACGAGACATTCTCTTTAATAATCTACGGAGATACAACTTACTTTCTGATTGACAATGTCTATAACTTGTAAGGTATTTCTTCCATTGAATCTTGTACAAAGCAGCATGGCAAAGAGTTTGAAAACCTTTGGGTTTAATCTATCTTAATCTTTATAGTGAAAGTTATCTGTTAAAGAACCCTGATGCAGACTTATTAACCGAATCAGTGAGCTTGTACATTCTCCAAAAGTTCATGAAAACGATTAAATTAGGCTTCTTAATAAATTTTTTCATATAATTTAGTTCTGATTTGTCTCTATGAGATTTTTTTGGATACGAAAAATTTTCAATATCGAACATTACTTTAAGAAACATTTAAGCGAAAAAAATTTTCTCGGCGATTCAGGAAAATTTCTCGAAAACGATGTATGATTTATAATTGAGACCTGAGCTTAATTATTTAGTATTCTGAACTTATCGGATTTCGTATCAAAATTTTCAACATTCGTATATTATTTTTATTTAGCTCGACCGACAAGTAAAGTCTTAGATTGGTTGCATGAATTACTTGATATTATGAAAAACAATGGCGCTTTTAAAGGCGATGGAAGAAGTCTTAATAAAATTGGACAAGATTTAGGCTTAGATGAAACAAGTCTTATTTCTGTAGCTGCACGTACACCGCAAAAGTCAGCTTTAAAATTGTTTCGCTTGCTTTATCCTACTGTTGGTAGCCGGGCTGAATGTGGTTCAATTTCAAAAGTTCCTCCAAAACAATTAGAAAACATATATAGTGAGGCTATTTCATACAGCTAGAATTATTAAATTATTTTATATTGATTTAGTTTATGTACGTAGTCTTCATAAGAATTTAAGTTTCACAAGAGTTGATATGAGAAAAGCTATTGGAACTTCAATTAGAAGTGCCACATGTGAATTACGTAAACTCGAGCGCAGTCGGCAACATCGATTCAATGATTCAAGAAGCGATGATAGTATGGATTTTCATGAATTTGATAAAACAATAAATATCATCAATGTATTTTTAGATGAAGTGGCTGATGTTACAGATGATGTTAATGAAAATGAACATGAAAACGAAGATGATGATGATGGCAATGGAGACATGAATGAAGATGAAGAGGATGGTGACATTGATGAAAATGAAGAAGATCGTGACATGGATGAAAATGAAAACGAAGGTGACGACGATGAAAAGGAAGAAAACAATATGTTGGTTGACGATGAAGTTGACGAAGAAGATAGTTGACCGTTTTGGATAATTTTCGTGATGTATAAACAAGCAAAACGGACATTATAATTATGCTTTTAAATTAAAACATTTCCGCATTTCTTATTTTATAATTATTTTTTTGCTTTTATCATTCCCTGCATTTTCATACACTTATATCACTTTAATAAACATTGAATTACTTGTCTTTGCTCTTGTTTTCTAAATATAAAAGATGTGCATTTTCTTTCGCTTGGTTTTAGTATATTTGTCGGTGATATATAAATCTTATTTTTATGACTATAAAACTACTGCTAGTACGTAACAGATATCAAAGAAATATTAAAAAGAACACTGAACACACACTTCCATTGAGATTTAACAATCATATTCATAAGGTCGCATGTCTTCTGTGAAAATCTATCTACTTGAAGACGCAACAATGTTGCATTTGATTGAAATCGAAATAATTTGTATTTCACTGATATAAGAAAACCGTGCTATACTAAAGAATAGGTTTATATCGTCAATAATTAATTCAGCCATAAAATATACGTATATATGCATATCTATATCTATATATATGTCTATATATATTGGTTTATGAACTATAGATTATACAGTGATGGATAAAGAAGAAGAAATTCCTCTGCATTCAGCAAAAGGTCTTGTTCGACGACTGAAAAATGCTAATAATCGCCTTTCCAGAAACACTGATGTATTTTCGCTGCACTTTGAGAGTACGAAAGATCTCCAGTAAGTACTTGTTTGTACATTGAAATAAAAATAGCTTTGGTAAAAAAAATAGAACGGCAAACAATCATGGTGATCCAGATTATTTTCAACTTGATGAGTTCGACGAGATGACTATGCAAGATCAAGATGAAGAAACTAGCGCCAGTTCGAATGCATCAGAACATTGTATGGATCATGAATGTGATGCAAGCATATACCGGGTGCTTTCGGATGACGATGACGATAATAATAATAATAATAATGATGATGATGACAATGATAATGAAGAAATAAATTCATTTCAGACATCAGATGATGCTGCCAATAATGAGGTCCGATCTGGTCTACCTAATTCTAGAGAGATTTCTATTGCTCTTTCTCTTTTTCGACATAGACATAATCTGTCAAAATCATGTGTGAATGATTTGTGTGAATTACTACGTTATCTAGGTGTCAAAAACGTACCAACTGATTTTCGTACCATACAACGAAACATTCTAAAAAATCAGGAGAACATTTTGCAAGGTAAAAAGTATAGTGTTTGTTCTAAATGTGGCAAAAAAGGAAATATCAAATCAAAGTGTGAAAATACTAAGTGTACATCAAGTGTTAATCATCAATCAATTTCAACAGAGTTATGTACTTTTAAACTACTCCCACAGATAACATCGATTTTGGAACGGCATGCCGTACTACCTCAACCAGATAACGATTGCTCAAGAATAAGTGATGTGCAAGAAGGTGCAGTGTGGCGCAATATTTTTTCTCAACAACTAGTGGCTGACCCAAAAAGACAAATAGTAACATTTCTTCTAAATAGCGACGGCATCGTCTTGAAAAAAAGCAGTCGCTCTATTTGGGTCAGCTGCATGATTATTAATGAATTGCCGCGAGCTATTAGATTCAACATCAACAATGTCATAATTTGTTCTATATCCATTGGCTCTAACAAACCAAAGAAAACTGAATTTCAAAGTCACATTTCTGATTGGGTGCGCGAATTACGTCAGCTGGAACTCGGTTTTTATGTTTCTCCACCGAATTCAAATAGAATATTTCTTAAAACACATACTTACTTAATTGCAGCAACACTTGATAAACCAGCACAAGCACTATTGATGAATATGAATGATCCTGTAGGCTTCTATAGTTGTGTTCGATGTACTATTAAAGGTATAGTGTTGAATCTTTCATCCTTTAAAAGAAGAACTAAAAAATCATATTGATACATTAAAAAAGATGAGCTGTATTATAGAAGTTGATAGCAGTACTAGTATCAATCTGAGTGCATGGTTCATGAAAGCGACTTAATTTAACGACGTACGATATAATCACATTCCTATGTCAGATTTGTGTATCGGAAAAGAATATTTTTAATAACTTAATTAAGTAAAAGAAGTAAGAAATAAGTGCAACTTTAAAGGAACAAACTGTTTCACATTGACGATTTCTTCTGATAGAAATAGCTTATAAACAAATTCCATTAGAGTTACATTATTTTTGAATATTATTAAATAAAAAATATATGACTCATAAGCGCAGCATGACAATTCAATTAAAAGTGGTTTAAGACAATTTTAATTTATTTTGTTTTGCTTATACCTGTGGAAAGATATGTGGATAGACTTTGAATACTTATATTCTTTACAGGGAAGTCCGTACAAAGTGGCAATGGATCCATTCGTGTTTTTATTCGAAATACAGAAGATAATATTGAAGATAGAAACAATGCGTTGTACGATAAGCATCTTTTGATATTGTCACAAGTATGAGATTTACTGGGCAAAACATTTAATAGTTTCATTTTTAATTTTACTAGAGAAGATCAAAATTAAAAACAAATGAATACGATCCTGCTTGTGGTCGTCAAGGTGTTTGTCTCTTACGGGATTTGTCATATTTTAACATTGGTCAATCTTGCACTGCAGATTCGCTTCACAATGTTTATGCTGGGACATTTGTAAGGATTTCTTGATACAAGATGCTAGTAAAAACTGAATAATTGCTTGCACTCAAATGTTCAGTTTTGTCTAGTAACTTATACGTATATAAAAAAAATGAATTTATTTATTTATTTATTTTCGTATACTACTATTTTCTCTTATTATTAATTGATAGAAACGCTTATTGGAATTATGGTTTAAATCTCGTCGTCAACCATTTTCTATACACAAAAGTTTACACATAATCGAGGCTCAGCTGGACTCAATTCGTTATCCATCAACAACATATCATGTACCGTCTCAGCTCAGACATTTTCAAACATATAAAGGCAATGAATATCGACTGGTTTTGCTATTCGGTTACCAGTAAGTTTTTCACGTGTTATGGGTAGGGCAATGAATTTTATTCTAAATGAGACAAATATATCTGTTCACGAATAATCGAACAGCTACCACAGTAGCGAACAATAGAGCAATGAAATGGATTTTTTTAAAGTCGATTGCTATAGGAAAGTTATTCGAACGGTGTTTTCTTCTGTGCATACACCATGAACTTCATAAAGAAATATATAATACTTGGTCTTTAGTAAAATAATAAACTCTTTAAAAAATAAAGAAAACTTTGTCGCATTTTATACCTATATATATTTATACATAGATATTTTGAACGATTTCTGCCGACACAATATTATGATCATCTGAAGCTTTTAGCTTATGCGATGAATCTATCCGAATCATCTATTCTGTACTATGAGACAATTGGAACAGTTGAATTGTTGCTGAATGAATTTGACAGATTATTTTCGTTATTATACCCAGTAAGTATATAATCATGTTTTTCTTAATGCTATGAGAGAAATCTTTCTTATTAGCATAGATGTTTCTTTCTTAATAACCATTTCTACTAAGGTGCATTTGAAAGAAGCAGTTATGCTCGAATTACGATAATATATATGCAGATAACAGCACACTCAATACCATACATGCATTACTAGTATGTCTTTCTGGGACGCTATATTTTAATTTGATAAATTAGCATGTATTCTCACGACCATATATCTCTTTACCATACATAAGGAGATTGTACTAAGAGTGATAACATAGGTGTGAAGAAAGAACATTTTCTAATTTTATCATGATGAGTTTCTCCTAAGTAAGGTTATTACTCTAAATAGTTTTAGAATAGTTCTTTTTAGTCCGGTAACATACTATCTGAAAAATTTTCGCTTTTAAACACTAAGTTTGAATCTCTTACATTCTGTCTTAGACTAAGTTCAGCATAAAATAATTGTCTTATTAATTTCAGATTTATTATCAAGATTGCTGTTTTGAATAATAGTTCATTGGGCATAGACTCTTATATTGAATATTCATTAAAGATACTGTTAAAGAGCAATGTCCTACCTTGCTTATCATTTAACTGCTACTTATTTATCAAGTAAACAAGATATTTAGAAAACCCTGTTAATTGCACTGATTTTGATCTTTAGCTATGCATTTTCAAATCAGCTGTGATAGTGAGATATCGATCTAGTTTTATTATAAAAGGTCCGTGAAAGTATTTGCATAGGCACTGCTATTGGCAGAAAAGTTAGAGTATCTAATTTAGGTGCAGTTTTTTCTATTGCTTGGATAAAAATATATTTTGAAATATAATAAATGTAAAAAATATTTTACAAAACTTTCAAAACGTTTTCTCTATATAAGCATGGCCCGTTTAAGTGTCGTCACTCATATTTGACAATATGATTATGTCTCATTGATGTATTTCAACTAAATATAAATGGAGATGCAAAGACTGATGATAAATTGATCATCCTGAATTTTTTTTACAATATTCTAACAATGTCAAGCTTCACTCTCACCTTTTCATAGTCAGGCTCAAGAAACGTCAGATCAGAGCTCAGTGTAGATGCTATCAGCTAGTTTTCAGCATGCATTTATTTTTGGATGGCATATTTTTCGAAGTAGATAGTTTCTAGGAGAATTCAATGACCTCTGTTGTGCATTCGATGGTTCATGTACCTCAAACATTAAAGGATTTCGGTCCTGTCCAGAACTATTCAACATTTAACTTTGAAAGTGTAATTGGTATGTTTTGAAGGCAGACTTGCTATCCTGTATGTCAAAATTATTGTATATTAATTGTCACCATAGGTTCTATAGTTCAATCAGTAAATGGAACTAATCTGATCATTCCTGAATTGACAAACAATATCAACATTTTGAAATGTGCTACAGCTCAACTTAGCGAAATAAATCCCTCAACACATCTTCATGGATTTATACGCCGTCTATTTTCTTCAAAACGACAAGCGCTTCCAAGGCAAGCATCACCCGACGACAATAGATCTATTCGTCTTGGTCGTAAATTAACATTAACATATGATCACATCACAATGGTTTACTTACGGCAAAAACAAGTTTTCAATTTTTGTGTTCATGAAACATGCTGGAAGAATAATATTCGATTTTCTATTCATGAATCTAGCTCAAATACCAAAACTTGTGATTCATGTGTTTTATTTAAGGAGAATCATGAAACCAATTGTGGCTTTATTGTGGCTATTATTTCTGATGCAATGAACCAATGTTATACTTTGATTCATACAGTACGCATCGAGCGACGAGATACTCTCGTCATCAACAAGAAGAAGCTGGTGAATTCATTCATGTTTTGGGGACAACTAACTAACCCACCAAATATGGTGATGGTTCATATAAATGATATTGTTGTTAAACTTGCACATAGCAAACAGGATATCTTCCACTTTTTCCGATATCCAAACACAGTAGAAAGCACTTAAATAAAGATTCATATGTCCTTTCTTGAGTGATGAATAAGTATTTTTTTCCTTAGATATTAAAAATATATCGCCAGATTAATTCTCATAGATTAACAACCTTATTAGTGAGATCACGTCTTCGGGAGAAAAAGGGGCTTACCACCTTTGTGCTGCAACGTTAAACTCCATTAAGTGATCAAAAACATTCTTGGAAAGCGTAAAAAAATTCCGCTGCAGAAAATATTCAGTACATTTGATTGAAACGCCAAGATTGAAATGCAAGACAGTATATCTTTTGATACGTTTAAACGACTATAATATACTGCCGCTGAAAATGTCTTCATTTTCGCGGTGAAAATTTTACTATTTTGTTAAAATAAACGCATGATTATCCAGCGAACAAGTAAACGATAAGAATCTATAGATTTTATGCGTGTACACGTCCTTGTCAACTATAGTTGCAGCTTTTCATACGTGTTCATGCTATAAAATGTTAGAAAAAGCTGGAAATAAAAATTTTGGTATTGAACACGTTTACTATCCTTCGAATTTTAGCTTTATTACATTCCTTTTTTTGGCAACACATACGAAGAAAATGCGGATGCGTGAAAACCATTAAAAAGTCAGTGTAAACTTCGTTTAACCTTAGACAATTTAAATTTCCAAACTCGAAATAATAAATGCTATTGAAAAACGTCCGATACTGAAGAATTTGCATGCGAATCACGCAACCCGAACGGATTAATCGTTTAAACGCTATCAAAACTAGTCATCACACCGTTCACATGGTTGAAAATAATGGATACAAAGTTTTCAAGAGTTTTCATGCTATTGAAAATAAGAATATTCCCGTTTACACGACCAATCCTCCAAAAACGGCCATAAACGCGTATAAATGTGACTTTAGAGGCGTTTACACGCGTTTTTGAAAATTCTTGTCTGCCCGGGTATGGCATATTGCATAACACTCATCATAATGTATTCCTCCTTCCTAATACCAGATCAGAGGATACTCCAAAGAAATGGAAACGCAAATATGTCAACAATAAAAGATGTCCATGCATTATTGACACAATGAGTAAACCAAATTCCACAAAAAGTACATTGTAAAACAGCACAAGGATAAGGCAAGATATGTTGAAAACAAACAAATTAAAGGAAATATATTAATAGAAAGAAAAGGCCATCATCATTCTTCATATATTTTTAGAAACACAATGACATTAAAAAGTGCTGTCACCATTTTGTCCTTTTTCGTAAAAATATCAAATTTCATCGGAAACAGATGGGTGATTCCGCCAGCTTCGTCCAGTTTTTCCAGTAACCATCTCCGAATTCGATGAAACATGGAGGGCTTGTAGAGAATTTTACGCTGATCATTTTGCTATAATAACGTTCTGAACTTGACTGAAAAATCACATAGAAATCGTAAAAATACTTTTTTAAGCATTTTTTCAAAGAAATCGATTTTTGCAATGTTTTCGTTGTTTCTCAGCTATACTAATTCATTTTGCGAAACCGAGGATAGATTCTTGTGGCTCATTCAAAGTTCTATCAAAAAACCCAATTTGGTGCTATCTTTCATAAATCTATGCATGAAAACATAGAACGGAAAAAAAGGCATACCTTAAGAAATCGGTAACTAATTTGGTACAAAATTGAAATTCCCGGAATTGGTGACAAATACCATTCGATAGAGCAGAGCTTGCTTTATCTTCCTGTGTAGTTGGTCTTTTACGGGAATGAGATTCTGAGCGAAAAGACCAAAAAACACTAAAAAAATGCAATTTTTAGTCATTTTTCCACGGTAATTCGATTTCTTCTCATAGATAAAATGCTCAAAAGCGGAAATGAACCTCAGATTCGTAATCAGCATGAAGAACTGGATCTAACAGTCCGTGTTTATATATCTCGAATCACCTATCTTGCTCAATTTCAGTTGTTGACTAGACTATGCATGGTTTTACTCTATAGACTTGTTGATTTCCCAAAAAACAAAAAATTCTTAGAGATTGATTTTTCGTATTGTATATGCTCTTTGAATGTAACCATAATATTTTTATGTATCAAAGCCGATTGATTTCATGAAGTTCATTGACAATGATTTGAATTTTAAAGTTTTCATATCACTAACAAGTGAAGAGTGACGATATAGTTCTGGAATTTTACCAGATTCTACTTCGAGTTTTATTACTTTCTGTGATATAAAAGGCAGCAGAATGAAAAACCATTTTTTTGATCGATGGGTGTGGCTGTGGCTGTGGCTGTGGCTGTGGGTGTCGGTGTAGCTGTAGGCGTAGGCGTTAGTGTGGTGATTACTATTAAGAGCAACAACTCCCAACTACACCGACATGCACACGCACATCCACACCCCCACCCAGCCACCACACCCACCCCACCCCACGCCACACCCACACCCAAATCAAACAGTTTTCGTGAAAAAGAGTCCAAATTTCACTCCAAGCTAAAACGAAATTTCTTAATTACAATCAAAACTTATTTAAACAATACTAACAAAATCAAGGTTATGAGATGAGTGTAACGAAATATTTTCTTTTGTTGACATATGAGATGCTGTTAAAGAGATTATTCGTTACTTCTGCAGCGTTTATTTTATTTGTGAGCACAAAGAGAAACTGAGAGAATAGCGTTACCGCTATTCTTAGTGTACATATGATGTTAGTTACACTACTACATTCTCTAATTTTCCAGTTCTGATGTATAATACAATGTATTCACTTTATATACGTGCACACAAGATAGACAGAGACAAATAGAAAAAGATATAATAGGCATATCCGCGTTACTTAGGTTATGTCTAAAGATGTAATCACGTTACATGAAATTAGATGGATAACATTAAGAAGTATAACAGATAGACTGATGAGAGTAACGAGTTATACAAGGCCTATGGGATATTGCATAACACTCATCATAACGTATTCCTCCTTCCTAATACCAGACCAGAGGATATTCCAAAGAAATGGAAACGCAAATATGTCAACAATAAAAGATGTCCATGCATTATTGACACAATGAGTAAATCAAATTCCAGAAAAAGTACATTGTAAAACAGCACAATGATAAGGCAAGATATGTTGAAAACAAACAAATTAAAGGAAATATATTAATAGAAAGAAAAGGCCATCATCATTCTTCATATATTTTTAGAAACACAATGACATTAAAAAGTGCTGTCACCATTTTGTCCTTTTTCGTAAAAATATCAAATTTCATCGGAAACAGATGTTATTATTGCCACCGCTCCCTTTAAATACAATTTCGAAATACTTCATAAGCCACCAAATATTCATTCGTGAATTGCAACAAATTTCAATTTTAATCAAGAACAATGGCTGTGGCAAAACTCGGAATTTTCACGGTATCAACGATTTCATTGATTGCAATATTCTTGCAGTTTCATTGTGGTATGTTTCATACGATAATCATATGCGCTCCCCAAAGAGCTTTCCCATACCCATATTCCATTCCTGAGCGGAAGAAACCGAATCCAATTTCTCAGACAAAAGCCTATTTAAGCCGATGCAAAACTTTAACTCCGTCACACACTGGCCGATTTCATGAAAGCACTTTTCTCACTTAAACTCTACTTACATTAAACTATACTCTACAAGACATTTTTTTAAATATTAACGGTTGACTGCGCCATGTTTAGGCTCACAAGAAAGATAATAGAGCAAGGGAAAAAGATGACCTTAACATAAATAAAGAGTTCACAGTCAACGATGTTTATCAGTCCTCCAAATACATATCGCAGACGTGTGCATATAAGTTTGAGAAAAAGAAATAGAAATTTGAAAATAGGAGTTGTAATAAATGAGAGTATTAATAGTAAACTTTAGTGAAAACCATCATAGATGTACACGTCTTCTTTTTTACATTCGAGTAATTTTATTTTATAGTAGCATAAAGAAATATTTATACGTGTATGTAAATTCATTTGTTAATTTACTTCTATTTTTGAAATACTCATATTGCTTAAATTGTATGACCTCAAATTCTAGCCAATCCATCTTGCTATGTTGTGCTCTTTAGATAACCTTTTTGGAAAAACACTATTTCTTCTAAAGTTTTATTGATTTATGGCAACTCTTCTCCCGACATGTAGGAATTAGGTATACTGTTCATGCGTTTTTTGATAATACCGACCTTCTTCCGCTTTGTCTAAGTGTAACGAACATTTTTGCCTGTAAGAAAAAAGATAATCGAGGAGGATTTTTCCTGACTCAATATTAATGTTGTAAAATAGTCCCAACTGTATAACGAGTAAACTATTCTAAGACCAGAGCAAAAAACATGTTCAATTTGTTCCTTGTGCTTTTTGACGAAGAAAAACCGGATACAAAAGCCCAAAAAAGATGTGGTAAAGTGTATGCTAAAAATAGTTGTCTTCTCATCTTAATATCATTTTTCAGTATTGTATGAAAAATAATCTTTATTCCATTGAACACCTTTCTTATATTTTTCATTTTCTCAGATATATATATATATATATAAGCTCCAACCAAGTGTAGATGTGATGGTAATACCTAGGTATTTGAATTTTTCACGTATTCTATCGGTTGAGATTTATATTCAAGTGTCGGATACTTTGGTGAAACTACGCCATGTACGAGTAGTGTCTTCGTCTTAGAAATATCGACAGATAGGAGATTGGCTGCCACATATTTTTTAAGTTGTTTCAGAACTATTCGTTCTCGTTCTTGAAGTTCTATCACATTTTTTGAGAATTTCTTTTCAAGCGAACTAGTGATAACCAGAGCTAGATCGTCTGCGAACAAGTGTGTGACAATCTAAAAGAAAAAATATGGTAAAAAATAACGTGCAATCTAACTAAGGTAGCTGCAAGTATAGATCCATGAGGTGGACCTACTAATACACTCTAAAAAATAGGTTTTTTACGGAACTTAAAAAGGTTCTTCCCTCGGGCACACCGGAAGAACCTTTTTGGGTTCAGTATAGAACTTTAAAAGGTTTGGTTTGTGAGCTGCAAAACCTTTCAGGTTTAGTAAATCTTGAAAGGTTTGGCAGCTCACAAACCAAACCTTTTAATGTTCTTCGATGAGTCTTTACCGAAATGTATTGAAAAAGAACGATTCTGCAGCCATGAAAGAATCGAATGAATATGAGGTAGTGCCATATCGAGATCTTGTAAATGAGTAATTAGTGCTGGAAACCACATGCGGTCAAAAGCTGATAAGAAGTCTACGAAAATGACCAGTGCAGGACGATTAGGCGCTGCAACTGTCAATCTTAAATCTTCACCAATGAAAGGATTCTTGTTTGGAGGCGACTTTCTGATTGGAAGCCAGATTGTTCGTCGGTATATATGTTTTTTACTTTGCACCATCCAATTATCCTGTGATGAACTATTCTCTTGAACCATTTACCAATATTAGTTAGTAAAGAAATCGGTCTTAATTTTCCTAAAGCAGAGTATATTTCATCATTGAATAGACAAACAACCTCAGCATGCTTAATTGCTTGAAAAAAGTTCCTTTTCCAGTTTCTCAAGACCTCTTCATATGTAATTTGCTCGAGTTGAATGTTTGGTGTATATGCAATTTAAGTATAAGTTGTCGAATATCTTCTATGTAGAAAATTCGATGGATGAAATATTGGTTCGGAAAAGTGTCCTTTATGAAAATTTCCTAAAACTTTCACTATATTTTGAGGACCTCTTATTTTCTTGTTAATAATGATAAATCACGAAAAGGTAGTAAATAGATGATGAGGTCGAGTTGTTTTCGAAATAGTTTGATCTTCTTTCATCCACTTCAACTTCAATTTCCTTTTTTCTTGTAGATAATCAGCTCATTTTGCTAGGTATAGGTCTTTAGCGATTGCAAAATGTTTTCAATGAATTTGAGATCTATTTCGTTTATAAATTCGTCGCCTCTGGTTCATACTTCTTGTCATTTTAACAAGATACGGTGACCAAGGTGGTCTATATGTCGTAAAATTTTCGTAAGTGCTCCAATACTCATATGCTTACTGGAGAAATGTTGTGCGTATCTTCAAATTTGTTTTATGAAAGAAAGAATTTTTGAAAAAGAATATGGAGATTGGAAAAGAACGAGATAATGATCCGAAATTGTTTAGTCTAGTACTTCACTCTTCCAATCATTCGTATCATGAGTTATTCCAAAATCAATTACACCTGTTGAACGACTAGACGTAGGTTTAGATCGAATGATAATTTCGTTGCCGATTTTCTCTAGCCAAGAAACCAAGTGGTTTCCATTCATATTATTTGTTGCACAATTCCAGCGAATATGTTTTGCGTTGAAATCTCCGAATATAAAAAGGGGGTTATTAGAGCATTTAGCAAAAAGATGAAATGGAGGAAGCGATCCAGAGGGAATATAGACAACCCCTACAGGAATCGGATCGGGATTTAGCCCCATCTCAATCATAAGAAAATTCAGTTCTTTTGCTGCCACCATGCACTTTAATGACCGATGATACAATATTGCTACACCTCCCAAATAATTGGTACTTGGTGGTGTTAACCAAATATAATTTGGAGATTTCCACAATCCTCCTTTAATTACTAATCCAATCTCAGTAAGAAGACAAATTTACGGACAGTGATTTGCTATGAAAACATCCAAGTCGGCAATATGAGTATTTAAACTTTGTACATTATAGAGAAGAATATTAAGAGTTTCACTATTTTCATTAGGTCTTTCTTTTTTCCATTTTTATGATAAAGATGAAATACTTTCACGAGAATTCATTCATGTGCGATTTTAGAAAAAATTTCCATTTCATTCGGAGGAGCAACAATGGTATTTATTACATTTTCTGAGGTATATGGCGAACAGTGACGCAATTCTTCATTAACCATCGTGTATTATCGCGTTTTGAGTCATATTATTTTCATCATTTCGACAATTCATCATTTGAGAAATAATTTGAAAGTATTTCAAATTATGTTGTTGATTAAGAATTTTGAACTGTTCCAACGATGACTGACATGTTTGAATGAGAGAGTTGATAATTTCTTTGTGACCATTACTATTCTTTGTTTCATCCTGTGAGTGCACTACGTTTTGTACAATGGATGAAGTTTCATTGACAACTTTTGTAAATTGCTCTAGCATATGATTTTGTTGTTGAATTAATTGATTTGCAACATCAAGTATTTTTTGAAATTGAATATTTTGTTGTTCAATTGTTTTTGTAGCTTCAACATCTTCTTTTTCTATTTTCATTTTAAGATGTTCACATTGATTGCTTATTCTTTTTACTTCATCGTATATCTTTGAACTGTTCAAGATATTGTTTGTAATAGGTATTTAGTTGACATGTCTATAGGACGTTGAACGATTCGGTGCAGCAAGAGGACTCCATTCTCCAGGATTATAAACATATGTTGCGTCTGATGTTGTAGGTTTTTCATTTCGTAAATGATTGGAGATCGTTCGTACACCCGGTTCATTACACTGTCTAAATTGTGATGATATGAAGAGCTGTGCATTTAATGATAGTAATTCTGGATGTTGTTTCAGTTTGTGAACTAATTTTTTCCTCTGCTCAGCAATATATGGACATTTGTAGTCTAGTGTTGTGTGACCATTAGAATGACAATGGTGGCAGTAGTTTTAGCAATCCTTATGTTCACCTTTCAATCTATCCTGGCCACACCGACGACATTCATCATACTCAAATTTGCAATTCTTTCGAATGTGGCCAGGGTCATTGCACTTGAAACAGATGAGTAAACGAGGTGGTGATAAAAAAAATTTTACTTCAATAGTTGTTCATGTATAGTAATTGTAACGATAAACAAGACTCTGTTGAGTTTATATAGTATTGACAAACTGGATAGAGGTGGAGTAGCTTACAGCCACTCACGGCAATGGTGTTTATTCGTTTATTCACATACCCAGAGTGTAACAACTTCATACATAACACACGTATATATAGGAGAGAGAGAGATAGAAGAGAGACAGGAGAGAGATATATTATAATAATGGAAAGAGAATAGAAGGAAGAGGAAGGAGAATCATCGAAGCGTGCCATCAATATCGGCACAGTAATAACATCATCGTAAGTTATATTTTCATACTCATCTTTATCTTTTAAATCTAGAGGAATATGTCGAGAATGTTCTTTGCGGTTTCCATTTAGTTCTTCTAGCATGAAGAGCGAATAATAAACATTTTTAATGTCAACAATTATAACATCATAAGTTATTGAATTTGACAGTGATTTAAGCAGAACCGAGTACTGTGGTGGTAAGTGCTGTAGTATTTCAAGTAAGATATTTGCCGATTGAATTATTTGTGAGCAGTGTTTAATATCACATAGATAGACAAATAATTCTGGTTCTCGCATAAAACAAACTAGATTTCCTTTTTTGTCTACGAACCAGTATTCGAAACCCAAAGAACGTGTGTAGGTCTTATTCATTTCCCGACAATCTTTTTCTGTGAATAAAAAATTGTCTGAATGCAGATACTACACCGCTATGATCACGAAGTTTTGGATTACAATTAATTCTTATGGGTGGAAGCTGCTGTTCAGCAGCATAATGAAGAGCAGGTGAAGAAATATCTTCATCACTCAAATCTATTTCATCTTGATGATTTTGTTGTTGTTTTGATTCATTTTGCCGCTCTTTACCATTTAAGGAATTTGTCTTTTGCTTTCTCCTTTTACTGAATGAAAACAGGAGAACAATGTGATGACTCATTTATATCATTATTGTTCTTCTTTCTTCTTCTTTTTGTACCACCACGAGCTTGATCACCTTGATTTAATGTAATCAAGCAACTGTTTTCATTTTGTATTATCGACGAATGTACAACATTATTATTTTCACTGTTGGAGACTCGTCTCTTGACTGTTGTTGAACTTTGTTTCAATTGTCTATTCTTTTTAGTGAGTCCGTCGTGGCCACATAATTTGTCACGCTCCCACATGTTTAAGTTTGGATACGTTCAAGGATGAAAAAGTAACTCGTTAAGTATAAGATCCATACTAACAATTAGACAATCGGATATTAACTCTAATTTGTGTAAGATAATTAGCATGCGTGCAATCTCGTAATATTGTTTGCACAAAAGAGAGAAAGAAAATAAAGTAAATTCGTGTCACTATTACTTGGGAAGGAGAAGAATGACTTTATAATATATTCTATTAGGTTCGGTCCAAGGTGTTTCACATGATTACTATTATGTCTCACCTCTGCGAAATACACTTGGCGACTATCTCAAGTGCGATTACGACCCGAAGAATTGGGGCGGGAAAGAATACTGTATTATGTCGAAGGCAGATGCAATCGCCCACTGTAATAGTAACCCAAGTTGCGGTGGATATCAAGAGTCATCAAGGCCCGGTTGGCATGATAAGTGGGATCGCCAAGGTAAACGAGCTGTGGTATTGTTTCAAACAGGATCCGCATCCGGAGTCAGTGGCGAATGGGAAAGCTTTGTCAAAGTGAACGTTCCGAAGCAGGCAACGCATAATCAAAACCGTGGAAGAGCTATATGTACTTGAAATCATAAAACGGATGGTATCGATGAGTCGTTATAATGCGTACGGTGGTGATCAGTGATTTTTATATGCATGGTGGTGGGAAATATGCTGGGTTTTTGAGTTCCACCACTTTTTCAATAAAATTTTACGGTGTGAGGCAATCTTGACTATGCATTATTTGATGACTCTCATGAAAAGCACAGTTGTCGCTATGCAAGCAGATATGTTAAAATGACCTCAGGGTGTGGGCGTGTGAAGAATAACCACAAGAAATTGTTGTTTTATTTTATTTTATTTCGATTCAATTAGAATCAGAATCATTATCAAGTGGCAATAGATATCAGTATGATCCAAAGAAAAAAAAATATCTAAATCAAAATAATTCAAAGAAATTCGAAAATTGGGTGTGTTATAGCTACCACAATACCAGGTATTTGGAAGTTGCCGAAATAAATCTTATCAAGTGGCACAAGTATCAGTATAAAAGATCCAAAATAATGAAATTTCGAAGCAATACATAATACTATCACGGTGTGTGGGTGTGAACAATAACCACAATAAATTGTTATATTTTAATTTATTTCAATTCTATAAAGTAGAATCATTATCAAGTGGTAATAGATATTTATTCTGATCCAAAGATCAAAAACAAAAATATATGTATGTAGGAGAAGATATATAAATTACATGAGATTGTTTATATAATCTTTGTTACAGAAGATGATGATAGAAAAGCGATTGAAGTTATTGAAGAGTTTATTGATGGCGTTATTAGAAGGGTTCAGCTTTTAAAGTTTCATGTAAGATTTTGTATTTTTGTCTGCAATACTTGAGTATTTTTTTATTTCGTTTCGGATGTTGAATGTTTGAACAAGGTATATGAAGTCGATGATGGTATATAAAACGTTTGTCAAATAATCCATTAGTGAACTGGCGTAGTATTTCAATTCCATTTTCACCAGCTAATAAACATAATTCAGTTACATATTTCCAAAATTGACTAATATTAGTTAAGTGATCAGAGACGAGAGTTTCTTCAAATTTGGTTAGGTCATTATAATTAATTTGATCGATATTTACACCAGTTAAATATAAAAGAGTTGCTGACAATAATCGTTCATAAGGCCATTGGTTTATTCGATATTTTTTACATCTTCGACATTGACATGTGTCACCATCCGTGCTAAAAGAAATTATATATAATTTTAATTGAAAGATAAAATCAAGGATTCATTACCAGTATCTTATTCCTTGAAATAGTATTTCTTTGCCATTTTTGTCATATGAATGCAATATCCAAAGCTGATATTCTTGTGTAGTTGGATAAATACCAAGATAATCATCAAGTCTATTGTTCTTGAACATTATTTCGTTTATAATTTGATCAGTGTATATATGGATTTATACAAATATCTTATAGAATAAAATCTTGAGGGTGTGGGTGTGGGTGTAGATGGGTCTGAACAGCTCTTATACTTGAACGCCCACCCCCACCCACACATCCACACCATGAAACTCTGAAAGTGTCACTGAGAAAAAAATACCAGGGTTGGGCAGAGACGCAATAACCTAAAGAGATTGACAACGTAAAATCATTCGTACGTATTTGTCGTTGTAGAAACAAAAAGAACAAAAAACATTTTTACACAGGTAGGAATTCGAGTATTACAAAATAATTCGTTCTTCGAAATGATCGCGTTGCAAGCACATGTATTCTTTTGCATCTTTTTGTTATGAAAAGAGAAAAATTTTATAAAATGAAGTCTGCCCCATCCTTACGTATTAGAAGAGAAGTGAACTTTTGTGAAGACATATTACTTTTAGATCTCCATTATTTATCAATTCATATAAATAATTATATTTGTATGTCTCAGTGCTAACGTTTAAATCAAAATGTGGTTTGATTGAAGTGGATTGTAATAATCTATTGATATGCATGATGCAATCCGTAGTTTAGTTTTATTGGATTACACGAAAATGGTATAAGAATCCCTAATATTGGGTGTTATCAGATTCTACTGCAGCCATTTGACAGAATCTCAGTGGAAGTTTTGATCGGCCTCTCGTAATGTTGCCAGATAGTAATTAGTAGCCAATTAATAAAATATATTTCATCGGTTGGATCTCTTTTCAGTTGTATTTCCCGGGACACGAGCGGATTTCGTTATTTGGCCGGATCCGATAATCTTCGATCGATTTTAATCTCGGATTCGTTCTCCTATGTCAGTCAAATTCGTCTTGAACTCATTGTGATTCCGCCACTGGTAAGGGTGTGGCTGTTCCAGTTTAATAGAGCCTCACATCATGTGCTTTGATCAATTACAAAAGTTAAGTTCAATACTGATGATGTAACATTGAAAAATAGTACATCCTTTTCTCTATCATTGCATATAAAAACAAAATTTCTTTGAGCTTACTATTCAGAAACAAAAAATATTCGACACAACGTTCGGATTACCCTAAGTATATTGGAGTGCTCAGTCTGTCCCGATCCCTCGAATGTTTTTTTTTTCGGGCAGTTTCAACAAAACGTCGGAAACATGTGATTTCTTCAACGATTGCAACACTAATGTAGCACTGGTGTTTTGTCATTATTGTGATTGAGTGCGCCTGTGTGAATGCGGATATAACTTCCGGGTTGATCATGTAAGAACACTCATTTATATATATTCTTTTAGCAAGCATGAAATCAGATATCATTGGTAGAATTTGTAACAAGAAAATGGTCGACAATTCAGACATACGCGCCTAACTCATTTATCGTAATTGACGATGATAGATTTTTCATTAATATAGTAATATTTCAGTTCCCAATAAATCTATACAATAAAAATAAAATGAATATTCTTCTATAATTGCTCCGTCAAATCTGTCTAATCGACATTGTATCGATTCATCAATTTCTTCATGCGTAGATAGGTCTATATCTCTAATTTAGAATAAATATTTTGTAAAATTTCTATTAAAAAAATATCGATTGCTATTGATCAACGTCGATTGTCTATAATTTCCAATGACTGTCAATAATTGAGTATGATTCCAATCAGCTCTCCGGCCCTCACTCCATCGATTAAGCATCATAATAATGCTTTACAAACATTTCGATTCGTTGCAGTTGACTCAATGTTGTTCTTGTATGTTAATGAGTCATATACTATCGAAATACTTCAAAACAAACTCATATCGTATTCTTAGCAAAAATAACTTTTCTTTCCGCGCGTGAAAGAATGCTGCTCGTTTATTCTCTTATGGTACTGTATGAATATAAAGAGAAGTCATTTTTTTATGACAAACAATTAAATTTTCAACGAGTTATAGAATCAACAAGGGGTGATGGTGAGTAGAACTAACACAATACTATGAGTAATCCATTTTCGCTCATTAAAAAGTATCAAGTGACAAATATAATTGCAAAATACTGAATACAAAACTGTTTTACATAAAACACAATATCAATGATGTTTTTCAAAATCATCTAATGAACTATAATCTTTTTTTTTATAATTAATTTCAAATTTTTCTATTCCTTTAGTTATGGATGGTTCATTTTTCTTTTCTTTTCATTGATGTTTCGCCAACGAAATTGACTTCATCAGAGTATTTATATATATATATATATATATATAGTCTGATGAAGTCAATGTCATTGACGAAGCGTCACTAAAAAAAGAAAAATAAACCATTCATAACTAGAGAACGCAAAAAAACATTTTGAATTAATTATAAATTAATGTGATCTCCCTGAAAATCCAAGAAGAGCTATAATCCTAGGATGCAGTTATCATCTTGATAGTTTTGTGTTTGACATTTGAAGAGGTCTATTCTTACAGAATTTCACTTCTGTAAAATCATTCTTTCAAAATGTTTTGTACTCAGAAGACTTGTTTTTTGTTCCATTGTTTTTTCTTTTGTAGAAAAGAAAAGCCTGGTTTTTTCATTTGTACACGTTCGTCACTTCTTTTTGCATTATATTTCACATACGAAAACCAAAAAGAAAAGCTTCATCAAATGACGAACAAGCTTGTTTGATTGCAGAAATAAACTGAATCAGTTCAGGTTTGTTAATCTTTTTCTAAATTGGTCAAACATCTAGAATAAATAAAAATTACATTGCGAAATCTATTGATAACACCCTTATACTTCATAGAGAAATTCATTTTGTTGCACTCAGATAGTTTTTCATTCAATTTTCACTATGTCCACATCCGCATCCGCATCAATTTATTTTATAAACCTGCCATTTAAGACGATACAAACTTGTCAAATTTTGCATGTAGTTGTTTGATTCAAACATATATCAGTTCATTGACGACTGATATAACTTTATAGTATACAGATTTAGTCATAGATATGCGAAGTGAAGGAAATTTCAATGGAAGTTCTAAATGAAAAATATGAAAGGAGTCACATAAGATCGTTTCTTTATAAATTTTTATATGAATTTATTTTAGATAGAAATATTTTCAGAATTTATTTCAGAAAAATCGATGGGAATCTATTTTAAGAGAAATGGCAACAACAGATGATTCAAATCTATGTTCGATATGTAATAAACCAGTCGCTAGACGATTTTGTGTTTGATGTAAAAACTATTTTTGCTCAAAGGATTTCAAAGAACATGAACAAGATTTATCGACGAAATTCGATAACGAAATAGTTCAATCATATGATGAAATTTTTGATCAAATTCAAAAATTAGAACAACCAAATTATTTATCATTCAATCTTTTTGATCAAATTGAAGAATGGAAAAAGACAACAATTAGAAAAGTTGAAAAAGCAGCAGAAAATGCTCATCATGAACTCACTGAACTCATCAATA